GATTTGGATGGAATAACGGGGCTTATAATCGAGAAAATTCGAACGCATTTTGAGCCTGTTGCTTAGACTAGAAATGTAGTTTACCATGTTTAGACTACTTTTAGGTCCAAAATTAGTACTTTGACTTGTTTTCAGCCATTTTTTCTTGATTACAAAAATAAAACACAGGGCAACATTTTTTCATGACCAACAAGGTCTATTAGGAGAATTTTGAGAAATGCTTTGCTCAGCAATATTCAATGATTCACTCTCTTGAGACGAACAAATTAAGAAATGCGGCAAAATTTTTTGCGCATTTACTAGGCACAGATGCTCTACCATGGCGAGGGCTTCGTGGCTTGCCCTGGATTTGGGTGGGGGCTCGCGAGCCCTGGTTGAGAGCCCTGGTTGTGGCCGACAAGGGGTCGCGGCCCTCACCCAGGGATAGCATGGGTCATCAGCCTTTAACGGTGGAACAAAAAGAAAAAAAAAATAGAAAAGAAGGAAAAGAAAAGAAAAATAATTTGTAAGTTCAATTATAACCTTGAAGTTTTATCACGTGGGAATACAAATTGGGTCGGCACATATAAATTTCAAGTTAAAATTAAAAATTGTGAGCCGATGATTTGAGATCACATAAGTAATGTCTCATGGTTATCTAGTTTTGGGTCCCACCTTGAGCAGTATGGGCCATAGTTTATTTAATAATTTAGGAGCACAAATCAGTTAAGTCCAAGTCATTGGGCTGTTTAGGTCATATGGCCACTCCGCTTGCGACTGCTGCCAGCGTCGATCATTAGTCGCCTCCCCTACACCATCGTCGCATTGCGCTTTTGCTGTCTCACTGTAAGACACACAAGCTCGGCTCGAGTCGAGTCAGATTCAAGGTCAACTAATCTCGACCATGGGGTGGATCAGCCGCGGCAGAGTTTGTCGGATGTACAAAAGTGTTGTGGTGTTTGGTGAGACGAGAATGCCATGCCGACGTAGTCATCGGTGGCGGCGACGTTGAGCGGCATGGTCATTGGACGACGAAGACAGAAGAGATTTTAAAGTCTATTTTGCAATTAGGTTTTTTGGTTCTCCTGATGTGAAAGTACTTCGGTAACTTTTAGAGGGGGAGAACTTTTCAGGAGTTGAAAAACGCAAACCAATTATTTTAAACCCGTCTATCACACCGTTCTCGTATAAGTTTGGGACGGAATTATCTAAATTCGAAATCATTCAATAAATTATGGTAACATGTCATGTGGCGTCCGAAATACTCAGACACACGAGTCTTGTCCTCTCTTCTGTCCCTTCCTCTTTCGATTCCGTGCATGTGGAGCTCTTCTTCACGTGTCCCTCTAGTGCCTTCATCACATCCGGACAGCAAAATCGATTACTGCGACTGCCGGTTAACTAATTGGAAGAAAATGATTCGACTCTTATCCCCATCTATAGAAGCCTCACCCCACCGTATTTCATGCATGCACGTTCTCTCTGTAACACACACACACACACTCTCCCTCCCTCTCTCTCTCTTTCTACACCGAATAAACCCAGTTTGTCAATAACGTTACAAGAGAGAATCAAAGCAACGCCCACACATGCAACGGAAAACGATGGACTTTAATTATTCTGCACCACGCTGCTATCTCTCGCCCCACGTCTGCCGTCCAATGCTGCCCACCATCGGACCGGACGGCCCTCCTCGCCTTCAGGGCTGCCCTCCATGAGCCCTACTTGGGCATATTCAACTCCTGGACAGGCGCTGACTGCTGCTGCAGCTGATACGGCATCAGCTGCGATGCCAAGACCCGCCACGTCACCAACACCAACCTCCGTCAGCCCCAGTTTCGAGCAGGATCGCATGTGGCTGAAATGGCAAGGTACGATTCGTCGTTGCTCTGTCTTTCGTGGTTTCATTTGGTGTTTGGTTGCTGAAATGGTGTAAAGGGGAGTTAAATTACGTTGGTCAGAGATTACATGCTTAGTGAAATGGCGTCCTTGGTAGAAACGAGCGTCGTTCGGACTTAAAGCTAGCAGAAGGAACAATTGACGAGGAAAAGAGACATGCTTGATTTAGCTGAGATTCAACTGAGCCGTTGCAGAATGTATTGTATTAGATTTGATAGGTTAGATTGTTCATGTGTAATAAATGGCTGGGAAAACCATATTCATCGCTTAGTTGCGTGCGTTATCATCGATTTATCTTCCAGACAATTGTGGCAATCCAGTTGACGAATAAAAATTAGATTCTTGATGTTAATAACACTGCGTTTTGTTTCTCCTCATGTTTATCCTCCCCCATGCTTCTTATACTTTTCCATTTTTGGCACATTATAACTTTTCTGGTTATTACTGGAGATATCTCTTTATGGAGGCAGATTTCAGAGTTGTTTGAGAGAAATTTGAGACCGAGCTACTGATGTTGAGAATAAGGATAACGGAGTCAAAATTTCATTGAAAGATTGGGGGGAACTGTACGTCCACATTTCTTCCTTTCCAAACTTTCCCACTGCTGCTGGTTTAGCTTCCTCAGCTGCAGGCTTCGCCTGTTTAGGGAACAGATCTTTTTCTCAATTCCCTCTAGTGTAACTTGTAGGTTGAAGTTCTTATTCCGCCCATACTGTGGATAGCTGTATGATGCCTATTTCAAGTACTTTGTCCATTTGATGCTTTTTTTTCGTCTTTGTCGTCCTTGGGATACTTCCGCGAGTCAATTCACCCACTGGTCAAATTTTGTGATGTACTTTTGAATAAGAAGTGATCTGAAACGGACCTTACGCTTCGGATGAATTTAACCCTTCACCAGCCCAATCGATTTCTATCTGCCTCCTCTGCTGAGTTGGAGTTTCAGGAGCAAGAATGTGGATAGAACATTGTTTAACGAAAGACAAGGTAACATGGCTATTATCCAAAAGACTAGAATAAAAAACACAAACGATGCCTTAGCAATATACTAGATCCAGATGCTTATCTGTGTGCTACTGCGTATTTGCATTGGGCACATATACATATGCCAGGTTAATTTATACCACTAAAATTAGATAAAAGTTTCTTGAATACCCACAAAAAAGACAGAATCATATAGGTTAAGAGGCATGTGGGTAGATAACAGAACTAAAGAAAAGATAGAGTAATCCATTAGACATAGTCAGGTGCATAAAACTAGGAAAATGAAAAGAACAAGATATTTTGGTGGATTTATATTTTACATCAAGGATATACAAGAATGCCCATGATACAGATTAAAACTAGAAAGGTCTCTAGAAGTATCATTGCTCCTTAGACTTATATCTAGTTGACGTATACTGGGCTTTTATATTCCCGTATGCTGAATGTATGCTTCTACTTAATGCTTTTATAGGCGACATCGTTTTTTTGCCTTGAGATTATGTTATGACATCTTTTTCTTTTATTAGGAAAGGAATGGACAGTTCTATAATTTGTGATTTTGTCTCTCTTTGCAGTGTTTGCCCCTGCAAAGTTAATGAATGTTAAAGAAGATCACTACCAACTTTCTGCTATTGCTAGGTAGTGTGTGCCCTTCTGCATGATCTAATCTTTCAATTGGTTGGTTGGGCGTTAGCTTGGTGCATTCCTATATGAGTTTGTTTTTCTACGTTTTGGGAAGGTTCAGGTAGTGCTTGGTGCATTCCTAAATAAGTCATGCCTTGCCTTACCATATTTCAAGGAGGAAAATGGAAGTGACAACCTCGCAGTTCAGCTGGCAGATGAAAATCACTGGGACGAACTTGTGATTATCATTGCTGTGGTATGTTCCTCTTTTTTATACGAATAACGTTTTTGCGTCTCCTAGTTGATTTTTTGAGACGCAGAGAATGAGCTTTTATCCTCAAAGGGGAAAAAGAGGCAGCAAAGAGCCTATTAGTCATACTGTCTTTTTTCAAATGAAACCTTGCAGTCCCCTTCCATCTTGTCACCTATAATTTGACTGTTCGTCTGGATTTGTTCTTCCTTGGCATGTTGACTGATTCAGCATTATCTGTTTAAGATAGAATCCTCTGTTGCTACTGCATTGATGTTGTTGCTTCAACCTTCATTCACCTAATACACTTATAAGACAACTATAAATTTTGTTGCTCTGCGTCCTCAATCTTATGCGGTCTTTGCATGGGTGATGTCAGGTAAGTTCCCGGCACAACGAAACAAGTAGCACCACAGGAATGCGTGAAAGTGTTGAAACAAGTTTTTCTTTTGCAACGTGGAGCAAAGGTATTTCTTCTTCTCCTTCAATAAAGTTGTCGTCAATTGTTCATGTCTGGAAAATTCCTCAAGCTTTTAACATTAGTTGGATGGTGGGAGATTTTCATAGGCTGCATAACAAGCATTTATACACTCATGCCATTCCACCTGTGGAGCTTCTTCAAGAATGAATTTAGTGTTTTTTTCTGGGCATCCCATGGTCATTTCCTTCTTAAAGCTTTCAATTGAAGTTTCTGCACGCTTCTGAAGTAGACACCCGCCAAACTCCTTCTCCTCTATCTTCAATGAAATAGGAGGTGGTGCCCAAGCGGATTGTAAAGATGGAAGAAGCTATTCAAAATCGTGACTTTGCATCTTTTGCGGGACTAACCTGTGCTGACAGTAATCAGCTCCGTGCAGTGTGCGTCGATACATGTCCTCCAATTTTCTGCATGAATGACACATCCCACAGGCAAGTTATACCCATTTTTAGACAATTTAAGTTCATAATACTGGATTTTACTGGTTTGTCCGTCCTTTTGCTCCCCTTTGATAATTATGTGTGTGTGTCTTTTTTATTAAATATTTGGCGCTATATTCCAGGATGATCAGCTGCGTTGAGAAATGGAATCGCTCAGAAGAAGCACCTCAGGTTTTCGAAGTGTCTTTCTATTCTACCGTCCTGATATTTAAGTTCTATCTGGGGGTTTGCAGCACCTAGCTTCAGTAGAGGCACATTCTTGTTGATCATCATTCCCTATGTGTTTAGTTATCAGATTACTTGTAGACTTCCTCTTTGCATGTTGATATAATGGAAGAAACTGTTTCTTTCAGTAAATTGCCATACCTTTGCTCATTAAGATCAACCAGAGTACCACTAGAGTAGTTAGCAAGGGTAAAGGACACTGAAGTACGACAAAAACACATTAATCTATTTACACCAGCCCAAGCAAAACAAATGTATCCCCTAATATGTCCTCTATCTACTGCTTTTTCTATCCCTATCTGATTCAGAAGAAGATGAGCTCGAACTTCCCGAGTCATCATCTGAGCTTGACGATGCCTGCTGCTGCATGATGAGACGCGGCATGTTCTTCAAATACTCACGCAAGTTCTCAGTTATGCCGCCAAGTCCAATGGATGTGAAGAAGTTGATGGAGAATCTTGCGTTCTTTGGATTGTCTTTAGGGAAGATTGATTCAAAAGAGTCCTGCATCAATGGATCATTCAGACGTTCATTGAGCAAACAGATCCCCAGATGCTCTGACAGTTCCTACAAGAGGGAAAGTGATGTCAATGAAAGCCTGTCTTAGTGAACAATAATTATGTTAGAACTCAGACGTATTTAATTTGAAATTATAAGGAAAACTAACTGACATTTGCCAAGGAATAGAGCAAATACTAAAAGGAGTACCGGAAAACATAACCATCTTTGCGGTGCATCTATCAAAAACTTAGATGGAAAAAATGTCCTGCAATCAAGATTGCATACGTTCCACCCAGCATACATGAATCTTAGATACTAAAAGGAAACAAGCCACATAAACTTAATTCAAGGGCCATATATATATTGTGCCAAAATCAAAGAGGAGAGACCTGACCATCAGTAATTTCTTCCCACCAAAGTAAATAACAAATAGTCTTCTTTAGAGCATCGACAAGTTGTTTCTACCATTGTAATTTAGTAAAAGAAACCAACAGTAAGTCTTAAATTTTATCAGTTGGGTTTTCACTCACCTGAAAGAGGATTTTGATGAATATTCGTGATGATGAAGTGGTGTCCTCCTCAGTCAATCGTATGTAGGCCAAGACGTGCCATGGTAGAGCATCCGTGCCAAGTAAATGCGCAAAAAATTTTGCCACATTTCTCAGTTTGTTCGTCTCAAGTCGGTGAATCATCGAGTATTGCTGGACGAAGCATTTATCAAAGTTCTCCTGATAGACTTTGTTGATCATGCAGAACCTCTGACCCAGCAGACCATAGTAGCGGAGGTAAGTTCTCTCTTGACTGCAACACTCCAACATCATTATACACAACTCCATCTGCACAGCCCAAAAAACAAGACGGTAAGTAAAGAAGACAACTAGTTCCAAGGACAGCAAATGAAGCAGCTGATAGACTAAAATAAGAATTCTAAAAGCATTCCATGATGTAAAGGAGGCGAGAAAACATAAAGAAGAAGGAAAAATGTAGAAAAGAGTCATAATGTGATTAATTTCCCTAACAAATTAGCATGAGAAACTACGAGCAACACATAAATCATTACAATTAGGGTCATCAATGAAAGTTGCAATCAAAGAGTTTAACCGAATCCACTATCTAGCTTAGGATAAGCTTACCAACCCCTTTCGAAAGCTCCCACCCCTGTTAGCCTATAAACAAGTCAATATTAGAGATCTCTACACTCTGCGGAAACTCAACCCTAGACACTCAGTCACACGACCAAGCAAAACTTCACTAATGTAGCATTATACGCCATCTACCATACTAATTGCAGAAACATTGAAGCATTAAATGCTTCCAAATAAAAGGATTCTACTTTCAAGCTATCTGGTCTAAGCTGCCAAATGCCTTATCAGCTGAGTCAAATAAAAATGATGAAGCAAAATATACTAAGGAGATGAAAAACCAGAAGTGTCAACAAGATCTCAACTTTTCATCTACTCCATATCTACTCAAAACTCGCGTGGCACAAGTAACGCACAAGAAAGTCCTCCAATAACCATACATGTAAGTACAAAGCTGATCAGTTATTTTAATACCGGGAGCATATGAAATACAGAGACAAATTAGGAAAAGCAAAAGCACCATTTTTGCATCCATGCAAAAAAATTGCATATAGAGATTTACAATTGCCGCAGTTTCAAAGTCAGTGCAATACACAACAGCCACGCCGGTCTATCCTCATTTAAAGATGAATCATAACATGCAAAGGAATCAGCTCTAAAGCTTCAGGCCTAAAAGCAAGTTCAAAAGAAAAATTATACTCATCTAACTTCATTTCTGGTTTGGGACAAAAATCAGCAATATTTACTTATATTCTCAAAATCACCGGACATGAGTGATTAACCTTCTTAGAAATCAAGGGTAAGAAAGAAGATAGGTATTCAAATTTGGCTGCAACAAATGAAACGTTGTCTCACCTCTTGTCCCGCTTCTAGTTTAATTTGTAATAGCTTATGCCCTGCTTCCTCGAAATCGACACTGGACATAATCGTCAGATATATCGTTCTCCGGAGATTTACAAGATTCGTCTCTGTCTCATCTTCAATTTTCATCTGTTCATCCTCTTCTTCATCAAATTCCTCAGCAGATCCGTCTTCTGAGCCTTCTTCAGAATCTTTTTCCTCCTCAAACTCGTCACCAAGAATGGTTTTCTTCAATTCTTCATAGCGCTTCTCGTTCTCCACGAACTGCGGATCAGGCTTGAATATGTCTGTTGCAGAAACAAGTATGACATAAAACAAAAAATCAGACACTGGGATATCCGGATTAGGGATTATAAGTAGCTTCATGTAACTGGATAGGCAAACAGATACCTAGACTAATTTCTGGATCAATGTCCTCGTGGAGTGATATCTCATGTGTTAGTTGATCTTCTTGCTCCACAAGGTCCAATTCTGGACGAACTGCGGACTGCATGTACACAAGGAAATTCAAGTTATGATAGTAAGAAGGCTTGGACATGCATGCTCGAGTAGCCTCTCCGTACCAAAAATCTTTGTTTCTCACCCTATCGAGAGAGATTGGAGTTACTGACCTGAAACTTAGCTTTTCTAATGGCAAAGAGGCCTTCGATCAAAAACTGAACTCGCTTATCTATTTCACCTTCATGAAGGATTCCACGAAACCGTTCAAAGATACCTGAAGAAATTACCAGAATTAAGAGGCCATGACACAAGATATTATTGAGGAAAACATAAAAGCAAGGATTACCAGCATCATTACCTGGTCATGCACACTAAATAGTAAAAATTATCTTCTTAACTACATGCAAGTATAACTTTGGAAGATTCCACATGTCTATACAAAGCCTTAGGATACAGCATGGCGACACTTCATTTAATGGATGATGCAAGCTTAATCAAAAGTTGACACTTCCATCTCCTTTATGATCTCCTAGTCTGATCCGACAAATTCATATGCAAACATTAAAGAGAACTCTCCAATAGACTGCCTAACTCTGTGAAGGTCTATCCACTAACCCAACAAAAAACTGCAAGTACAAAGGCAACAGACGAGACCCCTACTAAATGACGAAGCAGGCACACAAGCAATAAAAAAGAAGAGCAACAAGCTGGATAACATATAAAGTCCGCCACATATACCTACCATGCAGACCTTTAGGACACAGGTCTTGCAGTATGGAACCGCACTCCGTCACGAAACCAACAGCAACCTCCACGCTGTCATCGGTGGGAATTTCCAGCAGGACAGTGAGCAGCTCCAGAGCCACAATCTCATGAGCTACTTGCTGGTTAACTAGATGCGCCAGAAATTTAACGGCGGCGAGTAACTGAGGCTGTTCAGAATAAAACCAAACAAAATTAACATCAGAAGTATGAATAACCAACGCGATGCTCGTGTACTAAGAAATCTGAACCTAGAAGTAAGTGTCGTACCTTGTCATTCCGCTTATAAGCTCTCTTGAGTTGCAGAACAATCCGACAAACGATGATTGACTTGCCTGAAATATCGTCGTGAAATTCGATAAACAAAAATGATCGCGATTTCTTACGTGAGCAGTATGCGGATTCCTTCTTGCTACTAGTCTGTAGATTTCGAACCGTTCCGTCGGGGATTTTTGGCAAAAATTGGCCGAAGGACTACGCTGAAATTTAGCACAGATGTTTAAGGTTAAATTGTAAAAGAATTGAAAAATTTAGGACCGAATTGATAATCATACAGTATGTATAGGATTGATTGGGCAATTTTCTCGCCCCTTTTATGCCTTCTATCTTCATGTATAACAAGAAGATTTTTGTATTCTTTGGGCACAATTAGCTATAGGAAACTTGTGAATTCTTTTGTCCTCATGTATCTTAATCCTAAACAAGTAAAATGTTGAATTGAGGATTTCTTGCTTTGATGCCATGTAAGATTTAGTGGGGGCCGCTGTCGATCGTTTTAAAAACTTAAGCCGATAAATAAATGCGCGGTTTGATATATAAATGAGTAGTTATCGTTGACCAATGTATGGATCTTTTTGTTAAGAAAAAAGAAGAGCTGGAATTTCATTGTTGATGAGAGTGAGAATGTAGGTTTTCGTTTTGATCAAAGACACACGGAATGATCCGCTACCTTTAACCGTGCTTACGTGAGATTAATTTGAAACAAAACCCGCTATTAATTGTTTGAGATATAAGGATGCTAATTGCTATGGATGAGGGATTGCCCATTGCGGAACCCGGGTTTTTTTATTTGCTAAGTTTAGCAAATTGAAACCACAAACTTTTACGAGATAAATCGGTAAACCAAAGAAAGTATGGGTTTTTCTATATTGTAATTATAATGTCTTAGACTTACTTTTATGAATAGATGTAGAAGAGGGAAAAAGGCAAGTACTTTGAAAGCGAATATTAGCAAGGACACAAAATTGATCGTGGATTAGCTTTGTTAAAGAGTCATTGGGCTCAATCACTCTTCGCTTTCAATGCACGAAACGAAAAGTGGTGCTAAAAAAGTCGAAAGCCTAAAAGAAATAAAACAAGACATTACACAAATTTTTTTTTTTTTTGGTCAAGAAGACATTACACAAACTTGATTAGTAATAGACTTCCAGCTATATCTGTTTGCTCTCTTTTCCCCTTCATTGGACAACGCCAACATTGGTCTTCATCACGTGAGAACGAAATGAAGGAATCCATTATTGACTATCGTTTTTATTCATTTATTTATAAAACTCGACACCAAATAATTAGCTGAATGAATGATCACGTGGTGCTTGCTGCTTAGTCCATCATAGTATCTTTGGCTAATTAAAGGTTAAGACCATGTCTTAATTGTTTAAAATCTATTTGAATTAGACATGAAAAGGTAAATGCTCCAACGCAACAAATTAAACGCGGCCTTTGTCCTTATTGGAATTTTTTAGATATTTATTTCATCATCAAATTAAGCAAATTAAACTATTTTAATTATTATTGTGAATTATGATTGAAATGTAAATATACTATGGTTGAAATAATATTAAAAAAAACGAGGCAATACATGTGTGTCGGATGAGGATATAGAATAGTATTGAGATCCACATGCAAATGCTGCTCTTCACGTGGCAAGCCAGGTAATATGCCACATGCATTGTGTTAATTGCTTTTCCTGTGCAGTCTGAGTAGCTCAAGTCAAAAGTAGGAGAGTAGCAGGGTGCGAATGGTAACCATTCTGCTTCAGAAATTAAATTCTTGCTAGAAATTGATTTATGGAATTCTTGACAGAAATTGATTTCTGGAGGAAAAATCTGTTTAGTAAAACATGACTAATTCTGCTCCAGAAATTGATTTTTGGACCAGAAATCTATTTTGATTTGTTGATTTTTTTTTCACCTAAATAAATTTAAATTTTACTCAAAGTGGGTGGCCACATGTATTATAAGCCATTCTGTAAAGTTTTGAAATTTTTGATTTTTTAAAATTTTTTTGGGCACCTAAAAAAATTTAAATTTCACTCAAATTGGGTGGCCACAGGTATTCTAAGCCATTTTGTGAAGTTTTGAATTATTTTATTATTTTTTATTTTTTATTTTTTTGGTCACTTCAAAAAATTTAAATTTCACTCAAAGTGGGTGGCCACAGGTATTCTAAGCCATTCTGTGAAGTTTTGAAATTTTTTATTATTTTTTGGGCACCTCAAAAAATTTAAATTTCACTCAAAGTGGGTGGCCACAGGTATTTTAAGCCATTTTGTGAAGTTTTGAAATTTTTTATTTTATTATTATTTTTTTGGGCACCTCAAAAAATTTAAATTTCACTCAAAGTGGGTGGCCACAGGTATTTTAAGCTATTCTGTGAAGTTTTGAAATTTTTTATTTATTTTTTATTTTTTTAAAAAAAATTCACCAAATTTCATATTTTTCCGAAATCTGACTTTTTTTTATTTTCTGGAAAATTTTTATGATTTTTTCTAGAATTTTTCAATTTTTATGCATTTTCTGAAAAAAAAAATTATGAGAAAATAAGGAGAATGCATTCCGGAATCAAGAAGCTATAAAAAGTAGCTTCTCTTTTTCTTGCCAAAAACTCATTCTGGAATCAAAAATGCATTTCGAAATCAAGAATGCATTCTGGAATCAAGTATTTTTAACAAACGCATTTTTATTTCAGAATGCAAAATGCTGCTCTTCTCGTGGCAAGCCAGGTAATATGCCACATGCATTGTGTTAATTGCTTTTCCTGTGCAGTTTGAGTAGCTCAAGTCAAAAGTAGGAGAGTAATAGACGCTGCATCTGAGTCAAGGAAATAGGAGGCAATGCATGTGTGTTGGATGCGGAGATAGAATAGTATTGAGATCCTATGAGCATCTTACTTAAGGACATAAGCTAAGTCTAATGTTTGATATTTCGGAAATTCTAGGATTTTATTTTGTGCTGATTATATTCTATTCTTATTGAGAATGTGATATCGCTGCCCTACCATTAGTCATTCCTTTAAAAGATGATAGCTTGTACTTTATTATAATAAATTTACCATTCGGTATTGTCATTATGCACCAGTTCCATATATGGCATGAATGAAAGTCTCGTGGCATTTGATTGGCGACTATATCGGTTGGATGCACACTTAAACGAAATTCGAACTATATATGGCATGAATTTTGTGGCGATTGAGGAAAAAGTCCATTAGGACGAGTTTCTTGGTCTGTTTGACATTGAGTTGTGATTATTCATTTGAGGAATCAGCTATCAATTGCCAGTACTGTTGTGTATTCTTCTAAGGAACACGATGGGATAAGATCAGCCAGGAGGAAGGAAGGAAAGGAAGGAAGGATTCAAGCAGGCAGGCAGGAGCGGAACACTAAAGGAAAGAGGTCGAGCTTGGCGAGGGGTTTTTGGGTTTTTGGGCGGCGAAGAGAAGACCACCGACCCATTTATTCTTTTTATTTTATTCTTTTTTCAAAATTCCACAAAATCCCCCATGCTTACTTGGAAAGTAAGCAGCAATTAGTGTATGACTAAGTAACGGACAAATGCGATGGAAGTCATTGCATTATCCAGTTAATCCTAATTTCTCTTAATCAGAACTAGAATCTAATTTTAAGTGACCGTTCATATCAAGCAACTGTCCCAAATCAAATTTCCTAAAATAACTCAAATCAAAATTCTTCTTCCTCTTCTAAAATCTTTGGGAAAATGACACAAACAGTCCTTGAACTTTAGCCCAATGTGCAATTTGATCCCTGAACTTTTAATTTGTTCAATGTCATCCTTGAACTTTTGGTACATGTTCAGTCCCTAAACTATATGGAAAATGTTCAATGCAGTCATTTCCATTAATTCAAGTTCAGGGATAACATTGAACATTCTCATATAGTTCAGGAACTGAATTGAATATGTACCAAAAATTCAGGGATGATATTGAACAAATTAAAAGTTCAGAGACCACATTGAATATTAACCTAAAGTTCAGAGATTACATTGAACAAATTAAATATTCATTGATCAAATTGCACATTGAGCCGAAGTTTAGGGACTATTTGTGTCATTTTTCCAAACAAAATCCATATCGGGTAAATAAAATAATAAATTCCCGGCAACATCACTGCCTAAAATGTCCCGATACGAAAGCTAATCAAATGTACGAAGCAGCATGCATTGCCGCTTTATTGCTTAGGGAGAATAGAGAGCAGGCCAGTTCGAAATTTCCCTCTCAAGCAAAGAAACGGGAACTGATGCGTAGCGTGGTTGGGGTCTTTATGCCTGATTTTCTGTTCTTAGGTTCTCCCGAAATATTCATTAACGGAAATTCTTTTCTTTTCTTTTTATTTCTCTTATATACAATTCGAATAATCATGATAATTATTAACTCCATTTCATGTCAAGTAATTTTATTTTCTAGCCAGGACGCTTATAGAAAGTAAGTTACGATCGACTGGGCAATTGCTCAATAATAGGATAAAAGGAACTGACCTTAAAGCCTCCATAAGTTCGATCGAGTCCTAAATATTTTTTTACCCGAAGACCCCCTGGGACAATCGACTCCCGAACATTTCAATCAGTTCGATTAAGTCCTCATCCTTCATCGGAAAAAAAAAATGCAATTATGTTTGAAACGTAAAATTGATGGATGTTACCCAAACGCTTTTTGGAACCAACCATCGAAATGACTTGATCATACTTTTCGAAGAAGGTTCGGGACTTAATTGAACCAGATTTAAAGGTTTTGATGACTTGATTGCCTTCATCAAACAAAATTTCAAGTCGCCATAAATAAGGTAATTTGCTATGTTACTTGAAAGGTCACCTAACGATTTGACTCGAAACTTTATGATAAAATAAGGGAAATTAGTATCGTTGTTGGGGAAATGTGCGAAGAGCTGCGGCAAAAGAAACTCACGATCCTATTAGGTAAAGGACGGTATGCAAAACGAACCATCCAAATCGGAAATTGTTCGGACTGGACCAATTACATATACTTTTTTATTTTTTTATTTCTTAAAAAAAATTAGTAAAATGTGAATTAAATTCTAAGTGAAGCACATTTTTTTATTCTTCTTTTCGAATTCAGGATCATTGCATATATATCATTTAATTCAACATGAAAAGATGGCATCAAGTAATGAGAAAAAAAAAATGATCGGTTCCATTGGACCGGACCAATGGTCCAGTTTGGTTCCTGGTTCTAGGACCAACAAGTTCGGTCCCCAGTTCCCAATTTTGGGAACCGATCCTCCCGGTCTGGTTCAGGAGACGGGCAATTTGATATGGGCCTGATGTCGACGAGGTCATCGCGGAATTTGAGGAGATTGACGGAAAGTGACGCTCACATGCACGGACGGGGGGTTCGCCCGAGTTGATGGAGCACCAAGAGGCCGTAAAAAGGCGAGCCATTGAAAGGTTGTATTTTTAATTTTCGATATGCTAAAATGCACCACCATTAACTACGTTTTATAGTAACCGAGTGCAACATATCATAATATATTGGGGTGATCGGTTCCAGAGTATGTCGGTTCCAGACTTAGAACCTAAAACCGATCATGTTATAACCGGTTCCCAGTTTTTGGAACCTGAAATCTACCCCGTTTTATCTGACAAAAAAAAAAGAAAAGAAACCTATCCCGTTTGTCCTAGAACCTGTTTTGGAACCAACCCTATTTTTTCGGTCCGGTTTCAGGGTCTACCCAAGAATCTGTTTTTCTTTTGTTCCTTTTTCTGGTTTCATTTTTGCCAGCAAAATAATATGAGCAGCAATGAAACGATTCAAAGTAAAATATGAATAATAAAAATCACTATTCGCCAAAAGCAACAATTCCTAAGATGAGCAATAAAAATTACTATCCACCAAAGGTAACAATCCAAAATATAGTAATAGTATGATCTACAGTTTTTTATTTTTTTAACACAAGCTAAACACCTGTTCCAAAACCGATCCGGGTGAGTCTTCACTTGGAACCGAGAACTAGACCAATTCCAACCAATTCCCAAAAAATGGAACATGTTCCCGGACCAGTTCAAACAAGAACCGGTTCCCGGACCTATTTTTCGAGTGGTCCAGTCCGGTCCGGTTCCTAAGTAAACCCAGTTCGGTTGCACACTCCTAATAATATATGAGAAAATGTGAATTTTTTATATTACGATTACGACAGTATACAAAGGATTTACCACTTTATTTGTCGTAAGTGCAAAACTTCATAATATATAAATCTTTTACTTAGATCATTACTACGGTTTGTCCAATGCCAGAATTTTCTTTTTTTCATTTTGTGAGATGTAGACAATTTGACATTTACTAAGAGTAAAACATCGTAGAGTATGAATATTTTTATTTTATGAACATTATGATATTTCATCATAACAAAATGCAAAATTGAATAAAAGATAAAAAAAGTAGAAGATTATACTGCAAAAATTCTTCAAAGAGGAAAGATGGTATGAATAATCCTCTTCTCAGGAAATCACAATATTTTCTTTATTCTTTTACTCATATGTCCGGTAGCCCGTGACTTCTAATGGCTCAAAATGCATCGTTCTTTCGAAGCAACGACGGCATCGTCGTGCTTAGCATTGCTCTAAAAGTTATGCTTTTTCATACGGCGGAGATAAAGATGACGTATGAACACGTTAATGCTACTCATCTTCACTTTCTTACGAGATATAATTTGCTAAGCTAAGTCTCTATTGCGCGGATTAGCAATAGAGGGTTAACATTGGCGAGAATACAAATCTCCAAAAGAAACAAAGACGTAAAGACAACGTGAAAGAAAACGAAAGCAAATGACAAACCATCGCGCGCGCCATGCACTACGTCCTTGACCGCCGTTAATATTGCCGTCTCCGGCCACCGGCCTAGCCGAGCCGCCGGCTCAAACGATGCCTTTCAGTTTCTCGAGAAACAACTCTGCCTTAGCCGCCTCCATCATCTCCACCGTGTGATAATCGCCGTCGCCGCCGAAAAGGCCCACCACTTGCACGCCCTTCGCCTCCAGCTTCGCCGTCAGCTCCCTCTGCCGATCTATCAACGGGTCTCCCCCGCCGCCCGCCACCACCACTCGCCACCCCATCGTTCTCATCCTCTCCCACTCCTCCGGTCTATCCCTGGCCATTGGATTGCAATACTCGTGGTCCCGGTCTGCGCCGGCCGGCAGCGCCAGCTCCCACATCAGGTCCGTCCCGTTCACCGGCAGGATGGGGTTGTTGAACAGCCTCACTTCGGACTCAGTCCTCTTGGACCCACCGAAAAAGGGGTGGTGCAAGATCAGCCCTCTGATCACCAACGGCTCTAGATCGGCCGCGGCGGCGCTCATGCGCATGCCCACATGGTATGCGATGTTCCCGCCCGCGCTCGTGCCCATCAGGAAGCACCGCGAAAAGTCGACATGCTCACGCAGCCACTCCTCCTCGGCCGTCCCGACCCAGCGGAGGGCCTCCACGGCGTCATCATAGGCCGCGGGGAGGCGGTGCTCCGGAGCGAGACGGTAGCTGGGGGAGACGATGACGGTGGAGAGCTTCGCCGCCATGAGGCAGCAGTAATCGTGGATTCTCGTGGAGGAGGGGGATAAGTATACGAATCCGCCACCATGGTAATACACGATGATCGGCAGTTTTTGGTCGAGCGGTGATGGCAGGCGAGGCAAGTAGATTCTGGCCCAAGTGTCGTGGGTCGGGTTGAGCGGGACGTCCTTGCTGCGGACGGCAAAGGGCTGGTCGGGATCGGGCACGGCCGGGGACTTTGGATCGTCGAGGAGGCATGGGAACGTGCCGTCCGGGTTGAGGACAACTTTGGGGTAGTCGTAGGCATTGACGGCCGGATCTGGATCTTGAGCTGGATGTTGGCCGGCCATGTTTGCTTTTGCTTAAGGTGTTACTGAAGAAAGAAATGAGGAAACCATTATATAGAGTGACAAAGGTGCGGCTGATGGATGGAGCCGCCGAAGGCATCATTTGTCGTTGGCTTACTACGAAATCAATTCGACAATTGCTCCCATTCTCTCAACAAGTATGCCTGTGCCCTAACCACCTAAAGACCAGCATATCAGCACATAAGTATTCCGTGGCTGCTCGTCTGTTTGAAGGACCGATCCTTGGCAATGTATACGGTTTGCTCTTTGCCCGACCCGATGGCGTGACCCGCCGTGTAAGCGAACCCTAATGAGAAGTCGAGAGAGACGATGTTATATGTTGATATGAAACTGATCGTGAAAGCGGCCCGTTAACATTTGCATGGTTTCTATAATCGTCACCGAATGCTTCCCTACCTGATAACAAATTCCACTAATAGGAAACGTAACTCCAAGAAGAGGTTCATTAACATTCGCATATCATCCGACTCGGTGCCGAGTATGTTTATCTCTTGTTTTTAATTGACTTGATACACCACCCATCACTGTGATATAATATAATCGTCATATAAGTATATTCTCTAGGAATGGAGATTACGGCAATCAAACGCAAAACGACTCGTTAGTGGCCGAGCAATTGTTGTCACTTAGATTTAATTAATTATTTCTTCGAGCACTGTCTGTTTGACAAGTTTAGGTCAGGCATATTTTTTTTAAAATGTAGAAGTGACACAACTCTTTAAATTGGTCAAGCAATCAGAATCGGAATTGGAATGATTAAACTCTGTTCATGGATCCTCTGATTCGAATAGTATTCTACTCTATGTCTTAATAAATCTGAACTATGGATTTTGAGAATTGTGGTTCTTATTTACAGTCGAGTCTATCGAGACGTCAAGATGAGCACCGTACAAATTAGAGGATCTTCGTCACAAAGTTCAAGTGGGATGCTTGCTAAATTATCGCGAACCAAAAAATAATATCTTTATGTTGTTTTTTCTATATGCCATTTTAAATATAGTAAAGAGAAGGCAAAGGTGTTTTATCTTTTTCATCTGGGGTTGACATTTGGATGGGTCCTTTAGAAATAGATGTAAAAGCAACACGACTCTTTGCTTGAATGACCTACATAAAACTTTACATAGTCAAAATCATTTGCGCCAAGTATATAATCGCAATTGAAATTGCAATACCAAAACTCTATGTACCTGGTAATTTTCATGTTGAACTGAATTTGAAATCAATGAAGTGCGCAAATCTTAATTGAATTAGAATTCATTGTCGTTGGTTACAGACAGTGGAGATAAGGATGATGCATGAACACATTTGTGCTACCGATCTTCACTTTTCTTACAAGATATAAGGTTGCTTTTATTGGATAGGTGCCCTCCGCCATTGACCGCCGTTTATCTTCCCGTCCCCGGCCACCGGCCTAGCCGAGCCGCTGGCTCAGACGATTTCTTTCAGTTTCTCCAGAAACTACTCTGCCTTGGCCGGTTCCATCATCTCCACTATATGACAATCGCCTTCGCCGCCGAAAATGCCCACCACTTGCACGCCCTTCACCTCCAGCTCCGCCGTCAACTCCCTCTGCCGATCTATCAACGGATCTCCGCCGCCGCCCACCACCACCACTCGCCACCCCATCGTTCTCATCCTCCCCCACTCCTCCGGTCTCTCCCCAGCCGTCGGATTGCAATACTCGTGGTCCCGGTCGGCGCCGGCCCGCAGCTCCAGCTCCCACATCACGTCCGTCGCATTCACCGGCAGGACCGGGTTGTTGAACAGCCTCGCTTCCAACTCCGTCCTCTGGGATCCACCGAAGAACGGGTGGTGCAAGATCAGCCCTCTGATCACCAATGGCTCGAGATTGGCCGCGGCGGCGCATGCGCGCACGCCGGCGTGGTATGCCATGTTCCCGCCCGAGCTCGTGCCCATGAGGAAGCACCGCGAGAAGTCAACGTGCTCGCGAAGCCACTCCTCCTCGGTGGTCCTGATCTAGTGGAGAGTCTCCACGGCATCGTCGTAGGCCGCGGGGAGGCGGTGCTCCGGAGTGAGGAGGTAGCTGGGGGATACAACGACGGCGGAGAGCTTCGCTGCCATGAGTGCGCAGAAATCATGGTTCATCGCGGAGGACAGACTGAAGGATATGAATCCGCCGCCGTGGTAATACACGATGAGCGGCAGTTTTTGGTCGGGCAGCGGTGGCGGGCGAGGCAAGTAGATCCGGGCCCAAGTGTTACGCGTCGGGTCGCGGGGGACGTCCTTGATGGGGACGGCGAAGGGCTGGTCGGGATCGGGGGCACGGCGGGGGTCGTTAGATAGTCAAGGCGGCACGTGATGGTGCCGTCTGGGTTGAGGACAACTTTGAGGTAGTCGTAGGCATCGACGGCCGGAGCCGGATCGGTATCCGGATGTTGACCGGCCATGTTTGGTCGATACGGGACTGAAGAAAAGGAACAGAAAAACTGTGATTTGTGATTTGTAGCCACCCGAGTTGTTTGAAAAGTCAAACGCATGCGAGTGAGACAAAGGGGAGAGTAGCTGGCGCAAAAAGATTCGAACTTTGAAATAATATATTTCTATCCTTTTCTTTCAATCGAATCACACGTGCCCAATTAGCTGTTATTTGGGGAGAAATAATCATCCTCACACTTAAAAAAAAAAGTATAATTGAACCATAAAACCTATCAAATTAATACAATCAAAGTCCTCGGGATTGCCAATAGACATGCGGCCGTGCTGATAAATGGATCGGGAGGGTGCGGACGGTAATACACAGGTGCGGGGTTCGATTCTCGCGCACTGCAAAGGGTAAAGCACAAATCAGAGAGTAAGGAGAGTTAGAGAAATGACAGACAAAAAAAAAATCCCCGGGATTAGACCAAAAAAAAACGAGTCCCTCTGTTAACTCTATCTAATAAGCCTAATTAAAAAAAAAACATAATTTTTAGTTTGACAATTCTAGCCCGAACTTTTTTTTTGTCTCATAAAAAATCTACAGCTTTCACTTAAATTCCAAATCTGGCCCTATTGACTTGGAATCGTTAATTGTCCAACGTGACTATCCCACCTCAGCAATAAATCCATATAGCTTGATAGATGGATTTAAAGCACTATTTATTGTCTTCTTTTCTAAGTCATGACTTGAAGAATAATAGTGAAATTGTTCATGGTCTCTTTCACTTTACCGGCAAATCAAAAAATCTGCATATTAAAATTCTCCGACCAGGCTCTATTGTTTCGCCGTAATTTGAAGTTGGACCACCACCCGTCGAGAGATGTCATGGACGATATCCGCCAAGCTCATGACCATAACATTTTTTCTGAAACAAGCCCAAGCTCTCCCCCTAAAAGTTCGAAGTCTATGTCGAATTGACATTAATCAATTGATTTCGTTTAATATATCGAGCTTTAGTGATGGATATTAATAAATAGATTTTGTTGGGAAGTATAGTGAAGAAGATTCTAAAGTTGCGTCCTGCCAAAGTGCTTGTAACAATCTACAAGATCGTAAGCTTTGGTTAACGAGGGCTAGATTTGAGACTTGAGTAAATGTTAGTGATTTTTATTGAGATAAAAAAAAGTTAAGACCAAAATTGTCACTCAAGGTAAAGTTGGTGTTTTTTTAAAATTTTAAATTAGCCAATATCTAATAGGGTTAATACCACGAAAAATTTCAAACTGATACACTCGTGACAATTTTATCCTGAACTATTTTTTTGACCACAAAAAATCTCAAATTGGTATACCTGTGACAAATTTACCCCGAACTATTTTTTTGATCACAAAAAACCCTAAACTGGTACATTGTCAACTTTTTTTTTTACCACCAAAAACCTCAAACTGATACACTTGTGACAATTTTACCCTGAACTAATTTTTTGACCACTAAAAATCCCAAACTAGTACATTGGTGACAAATTTACCCTCCGTTAGTATCCCTTAAATTGGATTAATATTACGAAAAATCACAAATTGCTGAACTTGTGACAAACAAAGGGGTAAAACCCAAAATCGGTATACCTGTCAATTACCACGTGTCATTAAACTTAACAATTTGACAGTAAAATTTAACGAAAACTAACAGAGGGTAAATTTGTCACAGGTGTACCAATTTGAGGTTTTTGGTGGTCAAAAAAATAGTTCGGGGTAAAATTGTCACAAGTGTACCAGTTTGTGATTTTTTTGTGGTAAAAAAAAAGTTTGGGGTAAATTTGTCACAAGTATACCAGTTTGGGGTTTTTCGTGATATTAACCCTATCTAATATGGCTAAACATATGTGTGGCTTATCAAGCGCCAAGTCGGAAAAAATTTGAAAAGGTAAAAAAAAACCATAAAAAAGAAATGAGGATAAAAGGAAAAAAAATAGATAAGAATTTTAAAGAAAAGGGTGAAAAAAGAAAGAAAGCCATTTTCTCTCTGTGCAAGAAAACTAAGATATGAGAAGAAAGAACAAGAAATATCCACACAAAAAAAAAACAATTAAAGTCAGCTGCAATTCGAAAATATAACTTTTAAAAATACTAATTTTACAAAAACTGAAAATAACAATGCATTAAGAAATGTAAAAGAATTTTAATTTTGAATTTCTTTCCCCTAAAAAAAAGAGCAAACTGTCACTGCAAAAAATTAGGGAAAAAAAAATTAGGGGGAAAAAATCAAAGCAATTCCCGGATCTAGGGAATTTGTCAACAATTGATCTGTTTGTGACTTGGGTGATAGGAATCATAGGATTTCGAAAGAGCTTCCCAAGTTCAAGAGACTTGGCAATTCGATCCGGGCCGATGAGGTCAACGTCAGACATTGACGGAAAGCGACACTGTCGTGCATGGACCGGGGGTCCGCCGGAGCCAATGGAGCACCGAGAGGCCGTGAAAAAGGCGGGCTATCGAATGGTTGTATTCTTCATTTTTCGATACACAAGCTTTATCTTCCCATCACGGGAACCAAAAAGCTCCATGAATCGAAGTGGCATGCCGTGAGCAATCCATCATAACTCAATTACAATGTTGATCTCGAAGACGCATATTGATTCGGAAATCTTTTAATATTAAACTTAAGAAAAGCATATGCATATCACATCACGTTTTCACATGGTGGAGATAAAGATGATGCATGAGCACATTTATACTACTCGTCCTCACTTTCTTACAAGATATAAGATTGTTATTGTTCGATAGACGGCATCCATCTTCGACCGCCGTTAATCTTCCCATCCCGGGCCGCCGGCATAGCCGCGCCACCGGCCGGCTCAAACGGTACCTTTCAGTTTCTCCACTAATAACTCTCCCTTAGCCGGTTCCAGCACCTCCACTCCATGATAATCGCCTTCGCCGCCGAAAATGCCCACCACGTCCACGCCCTTCGCCTCTAGCTCCGCCGCCAGCTCCCTCTGCTGATCTATCATCGGATCTCCGGCGCCGGCCACCACCACCACTCGCCACCCCTTCGCTCTCATCCTCTCCCACTCCTCCGATCTGTCCACGGACGTCGGATTGCAATACTCGTGGTCCCGGTCGGCGCCTGCCGGCAGCGCCAACTCCCACAGCAGGTCCGCCCCGTTCACCGGCAGGGTTGGGTTGTTGAACAGCCTCACTTCCGACTCGGTCCTCAGGGACCTACCGAAGAAGGGGTGGTGCAAGATCAGGCCCCTGATCACCAAAGGCTCCAGATCGGCCGCGGCGGCGGCGCACGCGCGCAAGCCCACGTGATATGCGATGTTCCCCCCCGCGCTCGTGCCCATCAGGAAGCACCGCGAGAAGTCGACCCGCTCGCGAAGCCACTCGTCCTCGGTGGTCCTGACCCAGCGGAGGGCCTCCACGGCGTCGTCGTAGGCCGCGGGGAGGCGGTGCTCCGGAGCGAGGCGGTAGGCGGGGGAGATGACGACGGCGGAGAGCTTCGCCGCCATGAGGGAGCAGAAATCGTGGTTTATCGTGGCGGACGGGGACATGAGTACGAAACCGCCGCCGTGGTAGTACACGATGAGCGGTAGCTTTTGGTCGGCCGCTGTTGACGGGGGAGGCACGTAGATCCGGGCCCAAGTGTTGCGGGTCGGGTCGAGCGGGACGTCCTTGGTGCGGACGGCGGAGGGTTGGTCGGGATCGGGCACGGCGGGGGTCGTCGGAACGTCGACGCCGCGCGTGATCGTGCCGTCTGGGTTGAGAACAATCTTGAGGTAGTCGCAGGCATCGACGGCCGGCGCTGGATCAAGATCGGGATGTTGACCAGCCATGGTTGCTATGCTCGAGGAGGGACTGGAGAAAGAAATGAGAAACTCTCCCTGCTCTTTGTTGCCGTCCGAGATCTCTGAAAGTCAAAAGGTCAAGCGCAGTCCAATGCGACGGCCACGATAAGGATTTTTTACATGCATTATTGGCTCAGTCACCTGTCTGTTTCGTATTTCTTTCTTCGGTCCCACCTCGATCGAGCAAAGCAAAGATGGCCCAGTCATGGTCCGGACCCGGATCCAGTTGCCACCGATGATGATGCCTTTGCCTGTGACTAACCTCAAAGTTGTCCTCGGCACGGTCACGCACCGCCTCGACGATCCAGCTACCCCCCGCCGTGCCTGATCCCGACCAGCCCTCCGCCGTCCGCACCAAGGATGGTCCGAGTGGGCGTTTTGGGCCACGATAGTTATCGGGCCGGCTCAAACTGTATTTCGGGCATCGTTGGCTCGATCGGGACAGGCTTGGCTAGGCCGGGCTAGGTCGAATGATGTTTTGTGGGCAGTCATGAAACTATCTCAGCTCTTAAACAGACTTATATAAAAAGATTAAACAGAGGTATTCCTTGGTTGCTCATCTGATGTTATTCAACAATCGCATAAACCATTTTTCACTATTTCTCCCACTCTCTCAACAACTATACCCGTGCCCTAACCATCTAATAACCAGCATATCAGCACATTTGTATTCCTTGGTTGCTCATCTGTTGAAGGCCTGATCCTTGGCAATATACATGGTTTGCTCTTTGCCCGACCTGATTGCATGACTCGCCGTGTAGGCGAACCCTAATGAGAATTCGAGAGAGATGATGTTATATATCGATCTAAAACTGATCGTGAAAGTGGTCCATTAACATTCACATGGTTTCCATAATCATCATTGAATGCTTACCTACCCGATAACAAATTCCACTAATAGGAAACATAACTCCAAGAAAAGGTCCATTAACATTCACTTGCCATCTTACTTGGTACTGGGTGTGTTTATGTCTCGCTTTTAATTGAATTGTTACACCACCTATCACTGTGATATGATATAATCGTCACATAAGTACATTCTCTTGGAGTAGAGATTACAGAAGTCGAACGTAGGATGACTCGTTAGCGGTCGAGCAGTTGTTGTCACTTAGATTTAATTATTTCTTCGAGTAGTGTCTGTATGACAAGTTTAGGCTAGGCATACTTTTTAAAAATGTAAAAGTGACACAACTCTTTAATCGAATGACCTAAATAAAACTTTACATGATCAAAATCGTTTGCACCAGTGTATAATTGCAATTGAAACTACAACACCCAAACTCTATGTATCTCGTATTTTTCATGTTAAATTGAAATCAAGGGATGTGTATACTGGAAGTCCTAAAATTTATTATGAAAGTGCAATTGAGCCCTAAAAATTGCAAAAAGTGAAATCAACTATTTCCATAAACTCCATCCAATTTGGCTAACGAAAATATTGACTGTTGACGTGGCTTTTTTTTAATAATATTTTCTCTCTCATACGTGGCTAATCATGAAACATAAGGCTGAAACGATATCATTTTGGCATACATCTGATTTTTAATATAAATTTTATCTAAATTCAATCTAAAAATAAGGCTAAATTTAAAAAAGGGGGAAGGTGGGGTGTGGGGGCAGCGACAGCGAGGGCTGCAGCCCTGCCGCCTGTCTCCCTCCCCGTTTTTATTTTTCAATTTAGCTTATTTTCAAATTGAGGGGGCGCCTATTGTAGTTCCTCCACGAGCTAGGTGGAGAAGCTCGGATATGTCCGGTGGGCAGAGCCAGACCTGGGTGGAGGAGTGCGGGAAATAGCCGCTGAAGGAGCGGTCGAATGCCGCCTTCTGGGAGGAGATCTTGGACAGCAAAGCAGCAGCGGTTGCGGCGGCAGTGGAGTATCGGGCTTCAGCGATTTATTGGAAATGCCTCTCTGCTCTTGGCTCTACTTCTCCAGCAAAAATCCGTCGCTACCGTGCCTCTTCATCAATTTTATCAGACTACCAAAGTGAAGCAGAAGCCCTCGGCTCGACTTCCCAGCCTCCGGTCGATCCTGCGATAGGAAGCTTGAGGCCTACAATTTACCAGGTTTTGATCTCGTTAGAGGCCGCTGCGGGGGCCGTCGTTGTTGGGGGCACCGTCGTCAGGGCTAATATAGCTGTCATCCGGTCCGAAACCCTAGCCTTCTCAAGCTTGAATGGCTAGGGTTTTTATTTTATTTTGCATATATTTTTATTTTTTTATTTATTTAATTTTGAAGAATTTTTTAGCTTTTTATTTTTTTTTTATCTCATGGGTTATATGGGTGGGTCTAGGTTAAATGTGGGTTTGGTACGAGTCATTTAAATTGCTTAGTAAGTAAATGGGTTAATGTGAGTTAAATGGGTGGATTTGGGTCAAACCCATTTATAACCCATCCAAACCCCCAACCCACTCACTTCTATCTTTCTCCCTTCTTTTTTCGCCCAGGTTGAACGCACAGTGATTTTGTCTGGTGACCAGATTCTCACTTGTCCCCTAAAACTTTGCTCATCTTGCTTGATTTCCACTTTGGTCGAGAGCTGGTTTCGACCTCTTTTTTCTCTCTCTAACCAAAATTTGGCTGGCTATATAAGACGGGTTGGAAATCTGTCTCGAATTTGAATCCGTGAAGCAAATCGATATAAGACCTGTTGAGTCAGCTAAAATGGGTTCCTATTTTGGATTTAAATGTTGTGTGTGTATAAAGTGGGTAATAATTTTAGCACACTAGAGAGGCGATGAGCTTGTGGCCATAACAACCAATTGCGTCAGATGCTCGTGAATTACATCATGAAGAAATGGCAAGTATTTTGAAGTCAAGTAATCTTGTGATAAGATTTGTAATTTCCAAAGTTTAGGGATCTTTTGTGTCATTATCCCTATACAAAAATTGTAGATTAAAGATTTCTTGAGAATCGCTAATAAATAATAGGGATAAATGCATAGAAGTACTAAAACTTGAAAAGGAAATGCAATTGAGTCATAAAATACAATCAAGTCTTAGAACTTATTAAGTTGATGCAAACAAATTCCTCTATGAACTCCGTCTAAATTGATGGAGAAAAACTACTCCCCCAAATCTAAAAATAGGTCAATTTTTTTTAAAATCTTGCTTGCTCCATCTCCAATAATTCTTTGCCTCCAACCCGATCATTTGGCGATTCGTGGTTAGAACTTTTCATGGTTTTTTTTAATTGAGTTCTTGAGATGGAAATTTGAAACACTAAACGGAAGCTCTACTGGCCATTACTGGAGAAAGATCGTTGCAAGAGTTGCGTCGATTGGACCTCGGGAATGGGAAGCCATTTTGTCAATAATTGACCAGTTTGTGACACGGCTGATAAGGAGGATGTCTTCTCTATTTCTTGGTTCCGAAGAAGAGGGGTAAGAGGAGTGTTCACGTTAACAGTGTGTCTGTGTACACACGCTCCGAAAAAAGGTTTCCCAAGTCTGAGAGGCAGCCATTTCAATCCGGGTCCGACCAAGTCGAAGACGTTGACGGAAACGACGCTCATGTGCATGAACGGGGGGCTTTGCCGGTGCCAATGGAGCACCGAGATGCCGGAAAAAGGCGGGCTATTGAAAGGTTGTATTTTGTACTCTTGATACGCTGAAGCTTTACCTTTCATCACATTCAACACAACAGTACAATCGAATCAAAGTGGCGCGTCGTGAGCAATCCACCATAACTCGACTACAGTACAGTTTGTGCGACACATATCGATTCAGAAATCTCCCAAGACGTAGAAGCTGTTAATGCTAAACTTAAGGGACCATCATGCCAACCAAAGCTCGGCTCCGAGAATTAATCAGCAATGCAAAATCCGGGTTGAAGCCTCCTGGTTTAGGACCCGGATCGGCCCTCACATCAATGATTGGAAAGGGAGAGAGAAAGAGTGCAAAGAAAAGCATATGAGCATCACATCATGTCCATTGCGGTGGGAAGTTATGCCCTTTCGTATGGCGGAGATAAGGATGATGAATGAACACATTTACTCTACTCATCTCCACTTTTTTACAAGATATAAGGTTGTTTTTATTCGATAGATGGCATCCGTCTTCGACCAACGTTTATCTTCCCGTCCCGGGCCGCCGGCGTAGCCGAGCTGCCGGCCGGCTCAAACGATACCTTTCAGTTTCTCCACAAACAACTCTCCCTTAGCCGGTTCCACCAACTCCACTCCATGGTAATCGCCTTCGCCGCCGAAAATGCCCACCACGTCCATGCCCTTCGCCTCCAGCTCCGCCGTCAACTCCCTCTGCTGATCTATCAACGGATCTCCGCCGCCGGCTGCCACCACCACTCGCCACCCCTTCGCTCTCATCCTCTCCCACTCCTCCGATCTGTCCACGGACGTCGGATTGCAATACTCGTGGTCCCGGTCGGCACCGGCGGGCAGCGCCAGCTCCCACAGCAGATCCGCCCCGTTCACCGGCAGGGTTGGGTCGTTGAACAGCCTCACTTCCGACTCGGTCCTCAGGGACCTACCGAAGAAGGGGTGGTGCAAGATCAGGCCTCTGATCACCAAAGGCTCCAGATCGGCCGCGGCGGCGCCGCACGCGCGCAGGCCCACGTGATATGCGATGTTCCCCCCCGCGCTCGTGCCCATCAGGAAGCACCGCGAGAAGTCAACGCGCTCGCGAAGCCACTCGTCCTCGGCGGTCCTGACCCAGCGGAGGGCCTCCACGGCGTCGTCGTAGGCCGCGGGGAGGCGGTGCTCCGGAGCGAGGCGGTAGCTGGGGGAGACGACGACGGCAGAGAGCTTCGCCGCCATGAGGTAGCAGAAATCGTGGTTTACCGTGGAGGACGGGGACATGAGTACGAAACCGCCGCCGTGGTAGTACACGATGAGCGGTAGCTTTTGGTCGGGCGCTGGTGATGAGGGAGGCACGTAGATCCGGGCCCAAGTGTTGTGGGTCGGGTCGAGCGGGACGTCCTTGGTGCGGACGGCGGAGGGGTGGTCGGGATCGGGCACGGCGGGGGTGGTCGGGTCGTCGCGGCCGCGCGTGACCGTGCCGTCCGGGTTGAGGACGATCTTGAGGTAGTCGTAGGCATCGACGGCCGG